TGTCCGCGGTGGGGAGCCCCCTCGCCGCTCCCGGGGCTGGAGGGCGACTGTGGGGTCTGGGGGATAGGCAGGACAGGGACGATAAAGGGGGTGGGCCTCTCACACGGGGAAAACCTCAGCGGGGACCCCCCGCAGCCCCCTGGAATCGGCAGCAGAGCTGCCACGGGCTCACCAGGCTCTCGGAGAACAGAGCCACCGGGACGCAGGGGAGAGGGGGCACCAGACCGATGGATCAAACTGCTCCATCTCCCAAACACCTGCTCCAAATCAGACCACGAGGGGGGCTGAGCAGCACACACGCCCCCGCGCTGCGGAGGAGCGAGCGGCGAGCTTCCGTCGCTTCACACGCTCGGTTACTCTGCAGCCTCACAATTGCGAGGCTGGATCAGAACAGGATCCCATCTCTGGCCAGCACCAGCTGCTTGAACCTTCCTGACCCTCGATGGCTCGAGCTGGGTTTACGCCTGGGAGCATGGGGGTTCGTGCACCCCGCTGGGTACTTGGTTTGCTGGCTCAGACGACTCCAGCTTGGCTTGAACAAGCCAGCGCGGCATGAACAAGTGGGGGGCCCATAAACCTCCTTGCACCATCAGGGTCAAGAGGCAACCGTCCCTAGGGGCAGTTTCTCTCCTCACGGCCGAGGGCAGGGCTTCTTGCGGATGGGCACTGAAGGAGACGGGATACCGGGCTAGATGGGCCCATGGGTCTGATCCACTCCGGTAGTTCCTATGTTCCTAGACAGAGGCTGCTGCTAGGGAAGCAGGAACAACCCCATGGGGCCAGGGAGCTGGCATCCCCCAAATTTAATCCTCATCCTGCCCCCCCACTCCCTCTCCACCCTGAGGCCTGGGGGAGTCTGGACTCTGACCTTCCCAGCTGGGATCCGTGTCTGGTTTTTAGTGGCATGAGCGTGCTGCTGGGTGCCGGAGGGCCACCCTCGCAGGGGGCCCTGGGGCCGGTGTGTCAGGTGGGAGAGTGCTTCAACATGAGTGCAGCACACAAAGCGGGCCTTGTGAGCCAGGCTGGCAAATCCCCCGCGGAATCCCAAGCGGCTGCTAATGCCCTAGGTAATGTGCTGCAGACGGCGGGTCCCTCCTGGCCATTCCCGGCAGGGCGGGGGAGACGCCTGCGTTAGGGGTCACCAACCGTGGCATGCTCGGGCCCTCACTGAATCGAGACCGAGCGGCGGCTAGGCAGAGCGGCCCTCACGTGCGCAGAGCGGACGTGTCCGTCCTGCTCTCTGCCACAGGCGGCGAGGGTGAGGGAGCAGAAAAAGGTGCCAAAGTCCAAATTCTGCTCCACCACCATCTCTCTGCTCGGGAAATATTACCGGGGCGTCTCCGCCCACCGCCAGCTCCCCTCACCCACCGCCCATCCCAGGCGGAGACTGTCGCCAGGCTCCGGGGAGCAGCTGGGTGGAGAGTGTTGAAATCTTGATGATTAGTTTGTTTCTTAGACGCAGGGATTTGGAGCTGGTGAGCCCTAATCCGTTCAGTGTGATGGAAGCCCATATGCACCAGAGTTACACACACACACACGCCCCCTAGATTTCTCCCAATAGACCTAGGCATTCGAGCCGGCCGCCATCCTGATGCTCCACACCACCTTTAGATTCCCCCCTCCCCGCCCTTCGAGGAAACGCTCCCCTGGGGGACCCACCGCTGCAGGAGCTTAGAAAGACAAAAGAGGCCAGATTTGCCGAGATCCCACGGTGCAAATGCAGAGGCTGGGGCGCGCCTGCTTGACATTGTGAACGACCGCAGGTGCGGCTCGACGCTGTCTCGTAATATCTGCAGCTAAGCGACTCGCACGAGTCCCACACTAATTGGCTCTGGTTCTACCCGAACTCAGGGTCGCCTCAGAATCAGGCCCCCGTTGTGGGGGCGCTGGGGAGTTCTGGGTCACAAGGGGACCAGGTCCTGAAGATGGGAGTTGTTGGCTTGATGCCACACCAAGCAGCCAGCGCCGGATGCCCATGGGGACTGAGCCAGAGGGACCCTCCCTTCCCATGCAGCCTTGCAGCACTGATGACAGAACGCCACAGCCGTGAGGTAGCCCCAAGAGACAGGACCCCTATGCCACTACCACAGTAATTCCGGGCGACTCCGCTTTGCTACAGCATAGACATCCGGCTCCTTTAGTCCCACCTGCTTCAAGAGAAGGAAGGATTTGCCAGGCCAGCGCGAGCCAGCTGGGGTGCTACTCAGTGTATTGTTAATACAGCAGCAACTAGGGGCCCCGACCGAGATTAGGGCCCCATCGCGCTGGGTGCCGCCCAGACCCTGACCGAGATCAGGGCCCCGTCGAGCCGGATGCTGCACAGACCCCGACCGAGATTAGGGCCCCATCGCGCCGGGTGCCGCCCAGACCGAGATCAGGGCCCCGTCAAGCCGGATGCTGCACAGACCCCGACCGAGATTAGGGCCCCATCGCGCCGGGTGCCGCCCAGATCCTGACCGAGATTAGGGCCCCGTCGAGCCGGATGCTGCACAGACCCCGACCAAGATTAGGGCCCCATCGTGCCGGGCGCTGCCCAGACTCCAACCAGGATCAGGACCCCGTTGGGCCGGGTGCTGCCCAGACACAGAGTGAGGGACACTCCCAGCCCCAAAGAGCTCCCAGTCCAAATAGACAAAGGGTGATTTTCCCCCCGTAGAGATGGGGAAACCGAAGTCCAGACTGGTTCTGTGACTTGCCCAAGTTCATGCAGGCTGGCTGCGGCAGAGGCAGAAATCAAACGCAAATCTCCTGAGGCCCAGGCCTGGTGCCTTATCCACACGGCCAGCATTGCCCTGGAGGGGGAATTGTGGGGCTGAAACAAGAGGGTCTGATTTCAGCAGGGCCCTAGCTGAGCGTGCCAGCTGGTGGGCAGGCTGCTCTCAGGCCAACACAGACATCTCAGTATCTAACACCGGCCTCTCGGTGTGCTCAGTCAAGATCTCTCTCCTACAACTCTGCCCGTCGCGGACACACACACACACACGTCTGCTCGCTCTTCCAGACGGCTGGATCTGTCGTTAGAAGGATCCAGAAGTGGGTCTCTTACAGCCGTTATATAAACAAGCCCCATTCGGCAGAGCCCGTGCTCAAGTATGTGACAGCCGCATGATGCCGGCCGGGCCCCAGAGACACAGGAGACAGGCCTGCTACTGGCCAGAGGCCTAAGCCGTCGGGCGTTTGTGGCAGAGGGGAATGGACGTACCAGGAGAGAAGGCAGCCCCGCGTAAGAGCCAGGCTCTGGGCCCATGGCTGCAGCTCAGCACATGGTTCTGGGTTTGCACCCAAGCCCAACAAAGGCAGCCTTTGCTCCGCTAAGAGGATTATTTTTCAGGGACACGGCCCCTGCTTCCTTGGAGTGCTGGGCCCGGCTTCGCTTGTAGCGCTTCTATTTGGTCTCCTGTCGATTGCGTCCCCATGCAGAGGCACAGCCAGGAATGAACAGGGGCCTGAGCAGATTAGGTCAAGCCCCCTTGCACCAACAGCCCAGTTCAAGAGACACTCCCCCGCCCCCTAAATTGTAGCGTATACAGCGTGGCCAAGCTACACAGGGGAGTCTGGCCAGCCCCTGGATGGGAGAGTGCAAAGGAAATCCAGGGGTGCTGCAGGGCTTGCCAGGGGGGATTCAATAAGGGGTGCTCTTCCCTAGGAGTCAGTGCCAACCACCCCAGGCCCCAGCATGGTGCTGGGGGGCGCTGTGCTGCAGGGAGAGGGGTGGAGGGGTCAGCAGGAGGCGCTCTCCCTGTGCAGCCAGTGCTCAGGCCCCCAGTGGAGCTACGCAGCTTGGTGTGCCATTTTCCAGAAAGCCAGGCCCTCTCAACCTCATGCTCCAGACTCCCCCTCTCGAGGCATCTGAAATTCCTCTGCCCTCAGCTGGAGAGCAGTCTTCACTTCCTGTCCTAGCCAGCGGCTGCTGCATCCTACCCCGGGAGTGGCTGCATTTCAGCAGCGGGGATGTGATTCGTACTGCCAGCGT